ATTATTACTAAATATCAATAAGCTAAATACAACTACAATGAGCAGATTATTGCTTCTATCTCCATATCTTGACAACTAGTACATATATTGGTTGTTCATGTATAAAATTTATCTCCTTCAAGTTTTGGTTCAGCCTTCAATTCTGTGTTGTAAAAATTTCATGCTGAGTTCTAGAGGTGTCTAGTGTGCCGCTGGTGTTGCTTTTGTTGTGGTATAGCTTTGTATTATTTGTTATACTATGAAGGATATCCTTGTAATATCTGTTTTCTACTATAGCTGCATGATTATAGCAAGTCTACATCAGGAGAAACAGAGGTGAAGTTTCAGCTTACAAGGGATACACTTGAGGCTATGTTGAGATCCATGACATACATCAGCGAACAACTAAGTGCTGTAAGAATTTCTTTTATATTTATCGTGATTATGATGATGAATTGGTGAATTAACCCTAAAGTTATCATAGTTTATCAAGAGTATATTATTTTTTTCTTGAATACTTGTTTGTTCTGAGTTGAAGAGTTTATGATGATGTCTGATCGTTTGTGGGTTAATAAGAGAAAGGAAAAGCAGATGACTCCATTAAATTATGGATGGCGGCAATTCGCTTATAAGAAATGACGATGCTGAGTAATCAATTACTATATATATGATTGCCTGCCAAATATAAACAACATTTTGATGTTGATTTGTTAATTATATCCGGAGAAATAGATATTGCTATCCAATGCAATGGATGGTTGGTAGAAGTTTTAGGACCACTGGAAACCTTTATTCATGGTCCAACGTAGTTCTTTTGCAGGTTATAACTAATAAATTACTTGCTGGTAGGTGAAAAAATGATTTACTTATGGTTTATTTTCGGCATATTATATGGCAGGAGAGAAAATCTTGGGAAATTAAATGGAGTAATTCAAAGGTTATTTTTTTTATGCTTTTTCAGTTTTTCTAGACTATTTATTTTTGTTTCATTCTCGAATGTGTTATGCAGGTTGGGACTTCTTCCGGGCCAGCAAACAAGAAACAAAAGCAGTAACTTGTTTTCCTGTAATTTATGCCGTAGCTCATAAGTCACCATACTTGGTAGTATTAAGATAATATCTCATCCTATTAACCAGCGAAAATAAAAAATAGAGCTAGTAAAAGAAGAGATAACTCAGATGTATGTTGTACTGGCATTTGTCTTACGAATATATATTAGATGTTATAACTGATTTTACTCCCAAGTATGTGATTCTTTGATGGATGCCATAGTAAATTTCCTGGTTGTTGTATATAGTTTCTCTCTCGTATAAAGATTTGTATAAGTTAGGTTGTGTTTATGTATGCTTTCTCTTTTAACTTTTTGTTTATTTTGTGACAATGCAATTAAAAAAAAAAACTTATTTGGTTAAAAATCACGAGGATGGAAATTTTCACCTTTAGCCAAGTATAGGGATATTAATTAATATGGGAACCATTATCTGCACTCTGTATAAAAAAAATTATAAATTCTAAAAATGCAAACTGGCCCAATTGATGGAGAGGAAATTTTTGAAATTGTATGGGCAAAAAAATTAAAATAATGTAATTAATTAAAATAATTACACATTTAATGCTGTTTTGTTAAAAATTACACATCTGTTGCACAATGAGACGCCCTCTTTGAGCGTCACATGTGACGCCCCAGTGAGGCGTCTCTCTCCTAGAGAAGACGCCCCAGTGGGGCGTCTCATGTGCAACCTATATATACTCCACTTTCCCTTTTTCACTCCTTACTCATTTACCTCTCCAACCTTTCTCTAACCTCTCTCTAACCGCGGTTCGTAGCGAAGCTCTGCCAACGTAGGTAAGGTCATAATACCTCATATGTATACATTTAAATTACAGTGCTAGTTAGTAATACATGTTAGGATTGATTGTATATTAGAGACTTGGAACATTAGGATAGTCACTTAGAAATTTTGTGTCATGCTATGAATGTTGTAATGATATAGTAATATTATTATTACGTAGTTATTATTATTACTGATTTTTAATTATATATTAGGGTTTAGCATATTAATTAGTGATTTATAAATAGTGTTAGAGACTTTGTAAATTTCGTATGTATGATGTTATTAATGCGGGAGTGCATAACTTTGTAGTTAGTTAAGGATAATGGTTGAGTCATCATCTTCTTCGGGATCTGATTCGGATGTAGAGCCCACCGATCCCAGCATGTGGATCATACCTGGACCCTACAAGTGGGAGGTCCTTCGTCAGAGGACGCAGAAAAGTCATATTTCACAGCGTGTGTGGAATACTGAGCATGTAAGAAAGATTAAGACGAGGCGTGGGAAGCCACAAGGGGGCCCACCTACCGGTGCTATTCCACAGGTTGTGGAAGAGTACCTCAGACAGGCGGGTTTCATACATGTTGCCAGGATGCAACATATCCAGGTATGTTATTTATGTCGTTTTGTATTTATGTAATTAAATAATGTAATTCGTTAACACGTGATAACTGCGTAATTTATCACAGATAGATACATTTTTAATTAGTGCTCTGGTCGAGAGGTGGAGACCAGAGACACATACCTTTCACATGACCCAAAGTGAGATGACGATCACCTTACAAGATGTGGCAGACATCTTGGGCTTGCCGACCGACGGTACTGTCGTCATCGGATCGACCTCTAAGGATTGGCACGCTGCTTGTGCTGGTGTTTTTGGACATGTTCCAGAGGCCGGTGAGTTCCATCATTCTGGCGACCTCCGCATCTCATTCTTGGATCGACATTATACCCGGTGGACTGATCATGAAGGGAATCATGCTGCTGAGATCTACTTCACAAAAGCTCACATTGCGCGGATGTTGGGGACTTGGTTGCTGGTGGACAAGTCTGGAGGTAGCAATTTTGGTTGTCGGCTTGTCCCGTTGCTAGGTGGAGGATTTGAGGACATTGGCTGATTCAGCTGGGGATCTGCAGTTTTGACACACTTGGTCAGGAATTTGTGTGAAGTGACAGATGCCCGTCGAAGCGACATGGGTGGTTGCCATATTCTCCTTCAAATTTGGGCATGGATACGATTCCCACCCATTGCTCCACCCCTTCCTCCTCATCCACAGCTGGGCACACATTATGGATGCCGGTATGATTTATTTACTTCATTTGATTTCGATAATGTATGGTTAATACTGTATGTACTAACTGTATACTTCTTGACTTTGGACGATTATGTATGGTTGATAATGTTTTTGATTGACAGGTTTAATGCTGTACAAAAGTTTAAACCTCATGAGGTCACCCATTATCGGGCAACATTGGACACACTCTGTAGAGATGAGGTTTGGTGTTAGATACTTACGGTGTTGTTATTTGTCTATGGGTTTATTTTTTTTTGTAACTCTATATATTGTTTCACATTTTGTTTGTAGGTGGTGTGGCAGCCGTATATAGAATATGAGTGGCTTGACGTGACTCCAGAGCAGCAGTATCTGTGGCTAGCTCCCACACCTATTATCTACTTCCACACAGTTGAGGCATGTCAATCGGATAGGTGCATGCGACAGTTTGGTCTTAATCAACCCATCCCGGAAAAATCTAGAAAATTGAGAGGAATACATGATCATACTCTACGGGGGAAGGTTGAAGAGAACTGGAGACGTAAGCTGAGGGCTCACATTGATCGATGGAATACTAGGATTCAACATATTGTACTGCCACCTCCATTATATGGTTTGATGTCACCTAATCATGAGTACATGGAGTGGTTCAGAGAGAGGGGAAAACGCTACATATCACGGAGGGCAGCAAAGATAGGGCGCATGGTGAGTTTTGTACTTATTTTACATTTGTTTCAAATTACAACTAACATTTTTTCGTAATATGCAGATTGACGGTCTTGAAATGCTGTATCATGCAACAACGGCGGAGGAGTTTCCTCGATTTGGACTACAGTATATCCACGAGGAGATAGGCCGAATTATTGGGATGTTTCGTGAGAGTTCACGAGTTGATGAGCCTGGACCTGAGGCACCCCCCGTGCAGACTCAGCCTGATCCTCGGTTGATCGTGGATGTTCCTCGTAATAGACAGGATGGACGGGGATTAGGACGTACACGTGAGAGAGTTGCTGCCGAGCCTGTCCCGATTATAGCACCTAGACCAGTGGTCGAGACTCAGGGATGGTTTAGACTTCCAGCATTTGGTCCTACTTACGGGTCACAGCCGATTTATCATCACGGATCGCAGTATGCGGCAAGTCCTAGTCAGGCGGCGTCTGAGCACCCTTACATGAGCGGGCAGGAGCCAGTTTTCCAGGCTAGTCCGATGGCTGTGGCAGGAGCGGATCTGGCATCCTCACAGCCTGATTTCCAGCCCTATTCACAGGGACTTGATGCCGATTACCCCTTTTGGTCTGCAGAGGACACGATGGAGTTGTATCGCTCTGTAGGCCTTGTTGCAGAGAGCCATGACAGTGGGGAGACTCTAGCCACAGATTCTCACAGTCAGGGACACACCCCTTTTGATGTGCCGGGCAGCAGTGCAGGACCATCAGATGATTTCATCCGTGCGGCGATGGATGACTTCCACACTCCACCTCCACAGGACCATCAGGGTAACCCAGTCTGGGACAGATAGGGATGCACGACATAGGCCATGGCCACCGTGGTCCTAGTTTCATTGACATTTTGTTTATTCATTATGTTGTGGACTGTTTCATATTGTTATTATTTTGTTCTTTTGTATAGGTCATATGAGTGTAGCATGTTGTTATATTGTGGACGCTACATTATTATATTATTTGGACTATTCACTATGTTTTGGTTATCGTTCTTTGCGGATTTATATTACGGTAACTAACAGCATCAACTAATTAATAATTCAAGCTTAAAAACATACATAAACGGAAAGTAAAAAGTCCAACATAACGGACATTACAATTCATGCAATAACATAACCAACATCAACAATATGAACATAATATGCAAATCATTCGTTTCTCCCATGACTTGGACATCGCCGACGATTATGGCCGCGTTCCTTGCAAAGTCCACACCTGATACGGCTCTGGCTTGTCTCAACTTCATCCATCTCGTTGCGGATGCGAGTTGACTTTGGACGACCTTTTGCACGCAACATAGTACAATCAGGAATAATCTTTGCACCACTAATTTCAGGTATTGCTTCCTCGTTTCCGATTGGCTCCCACGGAAAAGAATAAGCCTCGACCAAGTTATTTATCAAGAAGACGTCGTCAACGTAAGTGAACGCACTTTGCCTAACACTTAGCGCAGCAGCAACAGCGTGACTACATGGATACTTAAAGGCCTTAAACTTTCCACACTGACAGTATCTCTGTGGGAGGTTGACAGAATATGAACGTTCCCAACCTGCGTCAACCTCGAATACAGTATGTTCAACATTGTATGCATGAACGTGGTGGCCTGTTGCATCTACCTGGTTCTTCTTGACCAATTCAACAACATGTTTGGAGTGACGATGAGCTGATTGAAGTTGTGCAAGAGCATTTGTTCCTCTCTCAACAAAATATGCAACCAATCTACTATATGTATGCTTAACCAATGTTGTTATAGGCATATTTCTGGCCCTCTTCAAAACCCTATTGACAAATTCAGCCAAATTTGTTGTCATATGACCGTACCTCCGTCCTTCAATATCGTAGGCACGCGACCACTTTTCCTTAGGAATCGCATCTATCCACTCAGCAATTTGAGGACTACTTTCACAGAAACTCGCAAGATTCCTTTCAAAATCAACCATTGCTGGAGTATAACCTGCACAAATTGGACATAAACGAATTAAACATAAATTGACAGTCATAACGGAAAGAAATAATTAAGCATTCAGTCAATGAGTATACCTAAATTCTTTAACATCCGCTTCAAATCTTCATTTCGAAACTTTTGATTGAAGTTGCTTGCAACATGACGAATACAGAATATGTGATACGCATTTGGCGGCTGCCAAGTAGGGTTATTTTCCACAGCAGATATTATGCTTCGATGCCGATCGGATATTAAACATATGTTTGACATCGTAGTCACATGAGCACGAATATTAACGAGAAAATAATCCCATGCTTCCAAAGTTTCGCCTTCTACGATGGCAAATGCGATCGGTAAACATTCATTATTACCATCTTGGGTTGTGGCCACCAACAATTTCCCTTTGTACTTTCCATATAAATGTGTTCCATCAATTTGGATGACGGGTTTGGCAAATTTGAACGCCTCACAACACTGTCTAAACGTCCAAAAAATGCGATGAAAAACCTTTTTTTCCAGAAACTAAGCTCTGCTAGGCATAAAGATCATTAGTTTGTATATGATAAAATGAACCTGGAGAAAAGCGAAGCACGTATTCGCACCACCTTGGTAAAAAAGCATACGATTCCTCCCAATCACCGTACAGAATTGCCATCGCTTTCTGCTTCGCATACCACGCCTTTCTGTACGAAACTTGAAAGCCATATTTAGCAGTTATCCTTTCTTGCACCAAAGAGATTGACACAGATGGTTCAGACTTTATCATCCCTGCATTGAAGAGGATATCAGTGCCTCGATAACATCGAACGAATTTAATTACACATTTGTGGTCAATCACACATTTAAAATACAAAAAGGTACCTATCACGAGATCTGCAATAACGTCCGCATCAAGATGTCTATGACCCTGGGAAATGTGCTCATTCACACATTCGTGTTTTCCACCCCATCTCGTTATTTTCCAATTTTCACGAAACACCGGTTTGATCGCCCTTACGCGCCACGGACAACCTTGATCGTACGCACAACATTTCATGGACAACTTTGCAGGCGTGCTCTCAATTACAATGGCTTCTTGATGCTCCCTAATAAGGTTGTGCTTAAGTGCCATTTGGACATCTTTTTTTGTCGCAAATTCTTGATTGACAAATAACATGTCACCCAGTTGCCACGGACCTTGTATTGAAGCCGATCCAGACACCGAACCATCAGTACATGATTCTTGTTCGCTCTGATAACTCCAATCAATGTAAGAATAATGCGGAATTCCTTCCCAAAAAGGAATAACATCTGTGTCACCTGCAATTGCGGGTTATAATTTTTTAATACGAACTTACTACTAATTCAGGCAACATTAAATCAGTTATTTATTCACGCAGTATACAAATGGGAACAATTACCTTCTTGTGGAATACCAAACGGAGCAGACGCAACGTCATTCAACTGCGGCATTTGCGCGACGACTGGTTGATGGAATATTGGAATTTCAGACGCACCCATCTCACGAGATTCATCTCCTTCTGAAGCACTAGCATCCTCCGCCAGAAGATGTTCTTCCATTGCCATATTTTCATCGTCATCTTCGTCGTGCATTTCCCAAGTCGGATCATTTTCATCTCCCTCAGAAAAGATACCAACTGGAGACGCATGAGCGGCAGGAGAAGCTGGAAGACGGGGAGAATTTAAATAAACTGACCTCACCGGTATGGGAGCATTCTCCGTTGCAACGATGTCGACATACAACTCTAGAAAATCTGTCCTTGACTGGTTGCAAAATTCTTCCATTATCATCTCCAAGTCTTCATCGTCAAGCACTTTCAAACTAATGTATTTATCACCTTGCCACACCCTTGTCGTGATCTCAGTGATACATTGGTTGTCTTGAAGACTTAACTTCTGCCGAATTCTCTGATGCAATTCGCCAATGGTTGTGTTGCGTTGGGTACGTGTCGGCCTTTTTTCACCTTCGAATATGACACCTCGTCGACCTTCTACCTTCCTACCATTGTAATATAACACAACACGAACAGAATCAGGATTTGAACTCATTTTTAAATAGAATTACAATTAAAATTCAAATACTAAATTAAAGATAAAGGAATGTTGGTGGAGAAGAGAGATATGAAGAGTGAGAGAAGATGTGTGAATTGAATGGAGGGGGTGAGGAAATATATAGAGCACACATGTGACGCCCTATTGGGGCGTCTCTCCCATGGATAAGACGCCCCAATGGGGCGTCACATGTGACGCCCAAAACTGGCATCACATTGTGCAGTAGATGTGTAATTTTTTACGAAACAACATTAAATGCGTAATTATTTTATTTAAATACAATATTTTAATTTTTTTGCCAATTGTATGAGCTAAATCTCTGAGAAAATGGTTGTCTTAAGAGTATTTGCATTTTGTCAAACCTTTTATTCTCATATCCACGCCACACCACAAGGAATAAGCATCAATCCTACGTTCCAGCTACCTTTGATAGGCTGACTAATATGATGTAGTCAGAAAATTTGGTATTTGATGAAAGAAATGCATCGAGGTTTTATGCACGAGCCAAACTAAATCGACATAACTCTTACCATTCACTAATGAGTATCGAAATTAACATGGCTGCAGTCATCAATTTGGTCAATAGTATCACAAAGCCAAAATTGAGGACTACTGCTACATTCTCTAGCGCTCAATAAACTAAACAGATTTTTTATGTAAAGATGAATAAAATAAGAGGAAAAAAACAAGAACAACAAAAAACAACTACTTGCTATATACATTGAAACAAAGTTCAATCACCATTTCTACAATCAAAGTATAATGTACAACAATCAACATTCTTTTCTTTTTCTTTTTTTTGGACTACACAATGTGCACCTGTTGGAAATAAGCTCTCACACTATATATGCCAAATTGCTTACACTCGAGGAGTAAAATTGAACAAAAAACCTGCACGCTTCAAGAAATAAAACCAAAACTCATTCTTGAAGAAACCAATCCATCAAAATTATAAATACCTGACCTAACTACCATTAGCCAAGACATGAAGGTGCCGAGGCTAGAAACGAAAATTCCCATCACTGAAGAAAAAAATAAATAAAACAACATCAATAGGAAACTTACAACTCTTTCTTCCTGCTCAAAGTGAACTCTCGGTATCAATCAGAATCACTTGAGCTAGAGCTGGAACTGGAACTGGAACTAGATTTCCTACTGTGAGATTTTGCCTCATTACTGGAGCTGCTAACGGGTACCTTTTCCAATTTATCCAATGGAGTTCTGCTCATTTCCTCAGCACTGGTTGCTGCATCAAAGAATTCAATCACCTTGGCTGAGCCAACTTCATTTGCTTCTATTTTGACTAAAGTGTCTTTCAAATCCAAAGGATTTTGAAGCTCCCCTTGATTACCTTCGGAGTTTGGCTTTAAAGCAATATTAATATCTTCTAGAGATCTGGCTTCAATAACTTGAATGTCTGAATTAACTTCAAGATGATCTTTAGATTCTTCACTGACAAACTGATCCTTAATTGAACTTGGAAGGATGACCTCCTTAACATCCACTCCTTCTTGAAGTTGCTTAAAAGCCAAGTTAATATCTTCAAGCGATCTTGCTTCAAGAACTGGGATGTCCTGCTCAACCTCTGCGATCTTTACATCCTCAGCCGGGGAACTAAGTTGAGCATCTCTAGTTTTCTCATGCACAATGTCAGTATGAAGTGATACACCAGCATCACTGACACTAAAATCCCCAACAGTGTCCAATTCTGACAAGAATCCCTCATCGATTTCCTTCATATCATCAAATTCATTGTTATTTTCTTCAGTAACTGGAGACATGAAGCCCTCTGCTGAAGGAACCAAGTTTTCTAGTGCTTCATGTTGGTCTTCATTTTCAACTTCCCCATGCTTATCAACTTCCAAATCCACTTGGCCAGTGGGTGAACCGAATTCAGGAGTCTCATATTTTTCTGAATTCACAGAAGAGATATTTAAAGGCATGTTGTCGATGACATCTTGCAATTCTCCAACTCCATCATTGGAAGTGCCAACACGCTGTGCAGATTCAACCTGGATAGCATCGGAATTCTGCAGAATGTCAAAGAATTTATGATCAGTTTTCTCAGCTAATTTAAAGTCTTTGATTAATAACCTCGCTTTCTACCGAACAAATGCAAATACCAGCTGAGCTGTTATGAGCATTAGATGAAAAGAGGTCAAAAGGACAGAACGAATTCTTCATGTACACAATCATGTGCATGTAGAAATAGTCAAAGAATACATAATTCTATCCACTTGTACAATGAAGATATGCATCCTATTTGATGGACATCTATTTCGATAATTCATCTTTCTACAATTTTCCTATAGAAGAGTCTTACTTCTTCTTTTGTTTGGTGGAACATAGGCTAAAAACTTGTGGGTCATCAGTAACAAATTAGACCAAAACGAAAATATCTGATATGCAAACCTTTCTGAACTGGGCTAACATTTTCCGGGTATTCAAGGATTAGCAGAGTCGGTAGGAGATGGGAATTGAGATTTTCATGAGAATAGAATGGAAAACTAGGAAAAGATCAGGAAAAAGCCACAAGAAAGTCACGGAAAAATATGGTTTGTTGGTAATGAAAACCTGAGATATCCTTGGAACCAAGAAAATAAGAGGAAAACATTGTTTTCCTTCTGGATATCACAGAAAAGGAAAAATTGAAGAGTAAGTGAACTTAGTTATGACAGGAACTTTATGGGAAATGTAGATTCTGAATATAAGTTAAGTGGGTAAGAATTTTTCTTTTTTCCCTCTTCAATGGAGAATCTGCAGGAATAGGGAATCAAGAAAAAATGTGTTTCTTTTGGGATGGAAATAAGATGGATAAGAAATAGACCAGTATGGAACTATGCAACTGTTATTGGAAGTACAATACTTACAGACAGTGACACAATCCTATAATTTTAATGGCAAGTACTCATGAATAGCATGTCAGATCCCATTTGTATTACATCAGCATTGGGAATACTATCAATAGGAGGAAATTTTTTAATATTTTTCTGTGTTAAAATCAAACAACAGCAAAAAATTTCTTTCTAGGAAAACATTTTCAGCTAAATATATTTTTTCCTCATCATGTGATTTTCCTTAAAAAACAAATGGACCCTTAAAGCAAAAGAAGTTCAAGGGATGGATTATTTATATTAATGGAAGCATAAATTATCATGTGACTTACCTGACTTCCATCATGATCACTAGAAGATCGTGCACCCACAAATTTATCGGACCTTGACAGTTGATTCTCCAAATTAGAGGAAGACTCCACATCAATTCCATGTTGACTACCAGAATTGAAAGAAACCATATTCTTATCCAAATCTTGGTGGATATCAGTGTTACCTTGCTCCACAGAACTTGACAAGAAGACTTTATCCTGTTCAGTCTGAAATATGCCTTCCTTATTTAGTGAAATTTTCTCTACGTGTTCAGTTTCTTCGGAAGGAAGATTAGGATGAACCACTGGTGCTTGCCCAGCTACTGGTGTAGGCATAGATGAACCATTAGAAGACATATGGTGGGCATCAGAAGCCACCAAATCCAGCATTTCATCTGCATCTTGGACTGACTCAGACATATTTGCATTATCAAATCTTGATACCTCATTGGGCAGTTCACCTTCCTCAGTATCTGAAAGATGTAACTTTTCAGAAGCCATTTGATAGTTTGAATCTGGAGAACCTACACTGTCTTGAAGAATTTCAGAATCAGTAAATTTGTGGTCGCCTAGATCCGGTCCATGAACAAAGCCTGAATTAGTCACACCTCCAATATCTGAAAACAAATTTGAATCCATGGAAACAGGCACAACCAGAGACTCAGCTGTTGCAGATCCATTCCGATCAACAGAATTTGGGGCAACCGCAGATAATTCATCTACAGTAACATTGTGCTGATTTATATCTTCAGATTTCTCAGACCTCAATTCATTTTTTACTTCCATATTTAGTTGGGAGGAGGCTGCTTGAGTTTCTTCATGACCAGAAGTATTATCCTCCAGTCTCTGATCATGCACTTCAGACTCTTTATCTGCCACATCGGTAGTCATTTCTACTGAAGCAGGAGGCAATGCCCTCTCGGAAAACTCCATTGCTGAATCCGAAGATACTGAAAGAAAAGATTGGAGCTTTTCAGAAGCAGGTGGACTAGAATCATAAACAGGTTCTACATGTTGATTGTCTTCCACCTCGCCACTCACATGCGGGATGTTCAATTGCTCCACTGAAGCTTGTCTTGGAATTCTAGATTCTGGGAAATGACCATCTCCTTGCTGCAAATTTTCCATTTTTTCCATTTTCTCTTCTGGTATGCTGTCAATCACTTCTGATATTGAAGACTGGCTTGATCTCATGCTGTTGATCTCCTCATCACTTGGTTCTCTTCTCAAATGTGTTTCCTCTGCATTAAACTGATCATGAATTTCAACCTCTCCTGTTTCAGGATAGAACTCCATCTCAGAAGGATTTTCCACCCCACCCAATACTATTTCAACTTCATCGTGGTGAACATTGCTCTCCTCAGCTTCTATCATCTCGACAGAATCATTTTCTGCAGAGTATTGGCTTCCGTGTTCAGCAGCATCAGAAACATGATCAATGTTAGCTTCTAATTCAGTTTCTTGAGACAAGTCTTGTTCACTGAATTTCCTCTCATCCTGATCAATTGAACTCACTGATTCAGTATCTGGAACAGAACTCAATTTTGAATCACTTAAATCACTCGATTGCCTCTGGAATGAGGAATAACTTGTTCCCTCTGAAGCCATCCTTTCGGGTATAAAGACAGGTTTCCAATTAATATCATGCCTCTCGTGTTTGGATATCCCCAATACTGATGGTCCCACGCTGAAGCTTTCATGCCTCCGAAAAACTGCATCTTTTTGATTGAGCATTGTGAACTCTTGTTGAAAACTGTCCCCCTTAAGATCAGGTTTTTCTTCATTTGAGTCATAGGGAATATCAAAAGGGTTTCGTCTAGGCTGTAGAATAGATGGAGCTGATCCAGGAATGGGTGGTAATCCCATGGCAGCATAGGATTCATCAGGGAAATCAAATGGGTTACGTCTTGTTGTAGCAATGGGTGCAACATTACTGGGAATATCAGAAAAATCTAAGTCAATTAGATTCTTCTCAGTCATTAGTCTCCTTGCTCTTCTTCTAGCAATAAGATTCTCCAACCGTTGATTCCTTTCTAACTCTAAAGTCCCCAGATCAATGAGATTCTTTTGGTCAGCCTCTGTCCACTTAATAGCAGATTTACTTTCATCCTCTTTGCCACCCTCCATTTCTTCTTCCTCTTCTTCATCACGTTCATCAACACCATCTTCTTCCACTTCGCCACGGTTTTCAGTATCTTCATCTGATTCGACAATGTCATCATCACTTTTCTGACTCTTCTCTGAAGCAGCATAAGAGCCATCACGGGACACCTGAACAGGCTGTGGAGCATCTAGGTCTAATAGTGGGTGGAGCTCATCAAGCATTGGAATGATGTCAGCCATGGAAGCATCTGGAGAAGAGCTCTCCGTCTGATCAGACCCTGACTCCACAGACTCCTCATCATCATCGTTGTTCTCCATCGGTTTCCAAGACGAACTGGATGAAAAGTCCACACGATCTCCCTTAAGATCACCTGGAGTTTCCTCATGCTCAATTTCAATAATATCATCATTTACATTTTGAACCATGACATATTGTTTCTCAATAGCTTCCTCGTCACTTGAAACAACTTCAGACCTCAAGTTCTCCTCATGAACTTCCCCGTTCTTTCCCAATTCAAAAGTATGGAATTCCCTTTCCACTTCCTCTTTCACTTGCTTCTCATGCCGAATATCCTGCAAGTTTTCATCATCCACTGGCACATCCAAAAGCAAGCCGCGATCTTCCTCATCCCTATTATCTTTCTCTCCCGCCAAACTCGCTTCTTCAATGCCGCCATCTTCTACATCACTCCTACTTTCTGAATATCCTTTCACAAAATAGCTCTCATCTCTGTCAGCAACAACAGTGTCACCCTCTGAAAACCCAGTTTGGAAGGATGAAATGCCATGAGTAACTTTCTCTTCCTTTTCGATTTCGGGCACATTTGGCTGCCCAAAACTGAGAAGGGTCCCAAGCAGAACAGCAGTGCAGACCAAAACAGGAGATGCAGAAACCAAAACAGAAAACAGAAAAGGAAAATATTTGTACAACAAAAGCAAGAAACCAAAAATACACACAAGGAATGGATGATTGCAAACTGATCTGTAACCCCCTCTGATTGAAATGACAACAAGTTTCCTAATTTTGATTCCAATTTCCAATGCTGATCCCATCTCCCTCTCTTTCTCTGTCTCTTTAGATATCTCTCCCCAAACAAAAACCTGTTTGATTGATCAAGCGCAAACAAATAAAAGGGTACCCAAATAAGATCCAATGATCCATGAACAACAGTTCCTATAAAAGGAGTAAAAAAAAAAAACTAGATGAATTAAGAAAGTTTGGAAATTTATCATACTTTAAAGCTAAAAATTACCTCAACAATGAATCAAAAACAAATCCCACATAATCAGAATGATCAATCCAATCCCTGAAGAAACGAGAAATTCAGAAACAAAAAAAATAAAAAATGAAGGGTTGATCACAGCATAACCAAATAGAGGATTTTCAGGGTATGAAAAAGGGCAAATGACTCACCAGAGAGGATTGTGGAAACCAAAGAAAAGAAAGGGTAATTGAAAATCCTCTGTTTTTCTCTGTTTCTTCTTTTATTTGCTTTATGGGTCAAAACATTAGCAACAGGAGCTATGAGGAGCTGAATGTGTGTGTTATGGTATTGGGTATGCGGTATTCGATGGTTTGACAAAGAGAGTGTGGGGCGGCACGAAAAGAAGAGAAAGATTGAAGGAGAAGAAGAAAGGAGAAAAAGAAAAGGATAGAAAGCTATCATTACATTATTAAAACTATTTTAATTTGTTTTTGTTTTTTTTTTCTTCGTTGCTTTCTGCAAAGAAAGAAACCTTTTACTCTGTCATGTTTTCTTGTTATTGTGAGATGCTAATAAAAAACATGTACTGACATTTCATGGTAATTTGGGTAGAAGGTAGTTTCATTCTCAGATTCAATTTAATTCATGACTATGGTGTTCTTCAGCTACCTTAACCTTGGTATTATTCTTTTGCGGTAATATTGCCCAATTGAAAGTGTAAATATAATTTGATGGCTAATAATGCAGGGATATACAAGAAATGAATAAAAAAATTCTATAACGATTTACTATAAATGCATTGTATCAATATGTAAGATTTAGAGTCACTGAGATAGCATATATATATGTTATTATTTTTAATATTCAGAGTCTTTCTACGTTTTGATACAAAAATCATGGGAATAGAAATGACACAAGTACAAAATTTTGATACAATTATTTTTTTTAACATAATTACGTATATCTCTAAACATTAGTTATATTAATGTGATATTGAACTGGTGTTTCTTTTCAAGCGCATGTTTGATTTGATGTTTGAATATTTCAATTCAAGTGTCATTAAGTCTTTTTGAAAATTAATTCAAGTGTCATTATACTGAGGCCATTTTATCCAAACTTTAATAATTAATTCTCGTTATCCACTTTTATATTTAATTAATTATCAATGTAATGCATTGGTTAGTGATACCTATATTGTATAAAAACCCCGAGGATAGTTAGCTCAGTTGTCAACTGAGGTACCAAGGATTTGCTTAGGTTGGGGTTCAAACTCTGTTCCAATGAGGGATAGTCTTCGGGCCTCGGGCCGTACTCTCAGGACAAGGTGACACCCGCTGCCCCAATGAGGGATAACTTTCAGGCTCTATTTCGTGAACAAGATGACCGGAGAAGGTTAAATAGAGATACCCTCCAAGTTATAAAAAAAATAATACCTATATTGTATTATTCTTATACTATATTTAAAGTTTACAAAAATACTCTTGTTATTTGGATTCATGATACACATCAATAAATAAAGTATTAAGTTTTTCGAAACAATTTATTGAACTAAAATTTGTTTTACATGTACCTTTTTTCAAAAATTATATTTACATTAAACCTTGGATGACAGGTAGTTAATAGTTTCAGCTATTTTTTTAAAAACATGTAGATTTTTCATTTTATAAAATTGGTGAGCTATGTTTTGAAAATAATAGTCTTATCTATCTATCTATCTATCTCTTTGTATATTTTAAGAATAAAATATTAAAAAAAGAATGAGTAAAGATGAATGTTGGTCATGATCATTGATCATTGCTTCCTCGAGTTTCTGACGTTTATTCTTTTTTTTTTATTACTTATATTATTCCATAAAACATGCCAATTCGTCAGCGTTTCATTCATCCAGGCTGGTGTTGGTGTTGGATCGCCAAACTCATATATGTTTATTATATCTTTTAATTCAGTTCCTGATTTTGGCCGGCAAGTGAAGTAGTCTTCATGTACTACCTTAACTTTTTTTGTAGTTGTAGTTAATCAATGAAAATTATATTAGAAAAGAGTTTGGGGAATGAAAAGTATTTAACAATAAAAAAAATATTAAAGTTGCATTCGGCTATACTAATTGCATGACCATTGAGTAATTAAGTATTGAAGATTTGAACTATCCAAAAAAAAGTATTGAAGATTTTTTTTTTTAAAGTGATAATCTAGTTCTAGCTGGAAATCTTGATTTTTAGTACGTTATTTCGTGTAGTATTCTACTATTCTTGTTAGAACTTTGATATTTTGGTTTTTTTAAGGGATTTTATTGTTTTTCTTTATCCTATAATATTTGAGTTATGTCATTTGCTTTGCTTTATGTATATATAAGTATTTTATTAGGTGATTTGTATATTCTTAATATGCCTTTTTAAAAAAAAAAAAAAAAAAAAGAATGATGAAGTGACCATTATAACTATTTCATTGGATTATTCAATGGGAAAAATGTTTCTGCAATTAATGCAGATAAGTTATCTGCATTTATTCTCAAAACAACGTCGTTTGGGTATTGAAATCTTAAGAAATTATAAATATAAAGATTATTATAACCTTGAAATAAATTAAAATTATAAAAATATCATGATTTCCGCTCCAAAACAACGTCGTATTGGGTTTACTGCAAATAACTTATCTGGATTAACTGCAGAAAAAACGAACCCTTATTCAATACAATACATTAAATTAACACAGCAAAAAATTGATGATTCATGTTACTCCAAGTCATTTTTAAAAATTTGCTTTTGTTCTTATATAATTCAGCTTCTAAAACCTTAATTGATACAATTTATTATTATTACATTTTAATTAGTGAACTTTACCCCAAAAATTTCAATTGATAATAAAAATATTGCAACATACTATTAGAGAGTAAATTGCAAATGAAATAGAAATTGAAAGGTGTTTCTAGAATTTACCCATACCCATACACACTATTAGAGAGTAAATTACACCTTAATTTCTGCTCTAAAATAATGTTGTTTCGAGAGTTCACTGGAGATAACTTTATCTTCGGTGACTGGAGAAATTCTTTACCCAAATTTAATATACTTAACATGTACTATAAAACAACAATTTCCTTTTTTTTTTTAGACTATAAGATAAGGTATTGTAAAGCCAAACCACCAGGCTAATAACACAGGACCTTACAGAGCTAAATAACTCACTTTTTGCTTAAAAGTTATGCTTGTCCAATTAGACTCATAAAAGGATCAATCGGTTATCAACCTTTTTCTTTACTTCTCTTTTTTTTTTTTTTTTTTTTTTTTCACTGATGAGAAAAGTTGAGGGTAATTTTTGTATTGGAATCTTATCGTACTAATTGATGATTAAATTCTAAATTAGATGCCTCCTTGCAAAAGTCATGTGCTTCTATTTCTGTTTAACTGTAAAGGTACAACTACATAAAAGTGACTCTAAAATGCAGATTTGATGATGTTTTTTTTTTTTTTTTCCCAATACCCTTGACACCTCATCACGAACTAACAAATGCATCAAATAGGAAAATGTTTTCTCTATTCTGAATATGTTTATAGGAACATGCTTTTTTGTGTTAGTATTTTTTTTTTTTTTTTCTTTGTATAGCTTTGTGTTAGTATTTCAGGCAGCGTAACAGTTAGGACATAGGCCTTAGTGCACGAAAGGATATGGTGGGTGACGTTTCTCGTCATAGCTTGTGACATTGAGCAAATAGCAATCACAAACGCGAGAGCATTTTCAATACCACCGTCGTAGTGATTACTGGGTCCGATAGTGATATTTACAATATAGGAAAAGATCCATTTATAAATTTTTTTGAATTTTTTTACAAATTACAGTATGTTCTTCCAAAGAACATAGTGTAATTTGTAAGAGTTTGTAAACAAAAAAATTTATAAATATAACATGTCCCTTATAATATATATTATCGGTAATACATAGTCAAAATATTAAAAAAAATAAAAATTTCTCTCAACTATTTCAGCTTATATGACATACTCCTATGGCCGATTGTACATACTACGGTTATATTAAAAATATTTCCCACAAAAACACCCTACCAAAACCCCACACCAGCACACACACACTTACACACAGAGAGAGAGAGAGAGAGAGAGAGGAACAAAGTAACATGAAAGAAATCTGAACTTTCTATTTCCTTAGTGCTGGTTAAAATTCTAATGCCAGAAGAGCCAACTTAAACTTCCTCTCACTTTTCAGTGAAAAGTTGCATGGACCCATATATTGAATTCTGCTTCTGTGGACAGTGGATTATATATATATATATATATATATATATATATATATATATATGGGGCACATTGGTTGAGAGTAAGGGGGAAGATGTCACATTCAAACCAATAGTACATATTGGTTATAGTTCAGGGTTTGTGTAAAATTTGTATGAGTAATATATAATTAACCCTGCCAGTGCCCAGTGCTCTTCTGATTCACCTCTTTACACATTTTTGGGTTCATGAACTTCATTCTTGGGTTCATCTTGGGAGCAAGGTATCTTCTCTTGTATAATCTCATTATCTTCCTCCAAGTTTGAACAAACTGGTTCATCACAAGATAATTCATCCTCAGAATCATTGTCTTCTGATTGCTGTGATTCATCAACTTCTGGGAATATTAAACTGGGTGTTGAACAACCAGAATCAATAAAATCAGACATCTTTCTATCATCATCTCTCATTTTTTGAGCATAAGCTTCATAGTTCATTCCATTTGTATTTTTCCCACCAAAATAGTATTCCAGCTTGTCCATGTCAAAGAGTTCTTCCATCATCATGCGGCTCCTTGGGTTGTCAGGGTAAGCAAATATCACCTTTTTGTAAGTCTTGGGTTCAAGAAATGGTTTCACCATCTGTTTCAATAAAATGCATACTTGTGAGACACAAAAAAATAAACATAACTTACAATACTGCATTTCAGGGATGTCCAAGAACAAAGTTCAACAGAAAAGGAAAGCAAGAAAAAAAGATTATAGCTTGTGTTTCTACTTATAAATCACATGACTTTCATCTGACCTATCTCAATTCACTTAAACATAGTATTGATTCTGTTATGGACACATAAAAACCCACATACTAGAAGGTTCAAGAGCTAACAGTTAAGAGGGAAATTAAGGAAAGATTCTTTAATTATATTAATCCTAATATGATGGATCAAGAACTGGATCCTCAATATTCTTAGGAGGCCTAGAAGTCCACTCTTGGCAGGTAACCTATCTATAAATAATGGATTAAGCCAATCAGATACATACACTCTAAACCCTCTCTCTCTCAGCTATTACTGTGCACACACCCCATCCTTTGTCTATGCCGTTATTATTATAGTGCACAGCGATCCGCTATTCACTAAGATATTTTCTTCATAGGTACCTGAGAGAGGGCACCTATCACCAAGACACAACAGCTTCACTCTACTTGGAATAACATTCTTTCAGATTTTATGATTCAGCACAGCAAAAGTAAACCAAAAGTATCTCCAAACTGAGAGATACATTACATAAGAATATGTATACATACACAGCGATCCGCTATTCACTAAGATATTTTCTTCATAGGTACCTGAGAGAGGGCACCTATCACCAAGACACAACAGCTTCACTCTACTTGGAATAACATTCTTTCAGATTTTATGATTCAGCACAACAAAAGTAAACCAAAAGTATCTCCAAACTGAGAGATACATTACATAAGAATATGTATACATACACAGCGATCCGCTATTCACTAAGATATTTTCTTCATAGGTACCTGAGAGAGGGCACCTATCACCAAGACACAACAGCTTCACTCTACTTGGAATAACATTCTTTCAGATTTTATGATTCAGCACAACAAAAGTAAACCAAAAGTATCTCCAAACTGAGAGATACATTACATAAGAATATGTATACATACACAGCTTAAAATTCCCATCAAGCAAACATTTTCGTGTTCTCTTTCATTAAACATCTTCCATGTAACTTTTTAAATCTTTACCCTAGCAAGAGTTCAAACTTCAGAAAATAGCCAAGCAATTGATAAAAAAAATAAAATAAAGACTGAAGATATTATGATATCATACCGTCCAAAATGACTCAAACACTTTTGGTGGATTGTAAAAGATTGCAAGGCCCAACCTCTCAGGGTAATGACCCTGCAGGACTTGAGCAGTATCCTTAGTGACCTTTAATGATATTGAAGATGTGCTCCACCCTTGAAAATCAATAAGCCAAACCATCTGTTCTTGTTTGGAACTTAGATTCAATATGGCATTCTCCAAACAGTAAACTAGGTACTTGATCTGCCCAATTGCCGAGTTTGTACTCTAAATTGGATAAATAAGGTCTTAATTAAAGCATTGAAACCACAATTATATTAACAATGAAATCCAAAAAACGAGAAAGCTAAGTAAAACCTTGACAAAAATGAAATGTGTGTGAAACTACCTGAACACCAGGTCTCATAACAAGAACAATCCTTCCTTGCTTGTCCAAGTAATCAGCTCTATATAGCCTTCCCATCATAGCTTCTTTAGCTACATCATCCTAATTACATTAAAAGTAAAAATGATTATTGTCTTTCAGTTGCACTTATCTAACAGTAGGTAACTCTATCCTGTAATGGGGTAAACAAAATAAAAGCTGAGAGAGAGATTTTTACAGTTATAAAGCCACCATATTTACTTGTTTTTGCATTGAGAATTAGCATTACAAAATGAAAGATCCGTCCTAGTTACAGTGAATAACATCTGTAAAACTAAAGCTAACTGCTTTGTATTTTTTTGGCTTTGTTTTAGTTGTATTTCATTGGGTTTGAACTATATTCATTTAAGTTCATATGTTTTTGCACAGTAACTATACTACAAATCATTTAGAAAACTATTAAATTTAACCATTTTCTTACTTTATACATTTCCAAACTGAACTTTAATATATTTTATTTTATTTTATTAAAAAAAGAGAGATGAAAAGTAACATTTGATGCACACCCATTTAATCTTCTCAGGCTTGAACTCCAGCCTCCATTTCATGGTGCCTTTCAACATCTTCGCAGCTTTCTTAGCATTATAGTTTCTTGCTCTAAGGAATCTTAACACTGATGCATCAGAACAGAGAGCTGGGAACTTATCCAGAATTGGACCAATTATCTTTCTGACTTCTCCAATCTAAAAAAACAAAAGGAAATCAAACATTTTGCCACTTGAAAATTTCCTCCATAAAATGCTATCACTACCCTCAAACAACCTCTTAGCTATTCCTAACAAATAATATGAATCCATGCAAACTTTTGGATGGAAGAATATCATAGAGACTGCACGGATACACAGCAACAATAAGCACCAAATTTATGACTTCACGTTCATATAATAGGACCAAATTAATGTCAAGTACCTTGGCCTGCTCCTCTTTAGGAGATAAAGTTTTTTCAGTTGCACCTTCTTTCAATCTCTTAAATGACATCTTTCTTTTCAAATCCATATCAAGCTAAAACATCCTGAAATATTAAAGACCAACAAAAAGAAAAAAGCCTTACTTCCCAGACGTTGGGGGAGAGTACATGAATTGAAGTACTGCAACAAAAGTCCACTTATAATTGTTGTTAAATGGACAGCTTCAACTTAAAAGGCACATTGGTGCATAAATTTGGACCTAAAGATTTGCCAAAACCGCCATATAGCTCTTTCATCTGTACATCATGAAATTGATTAAGTATTTTTATTTCATTAAACATATGCTATGTTCTACGTATTTAATGATTTTCTCCATATCACTGAATCATGTAGCCATGGTTTAAAAGGTAAGAAAATTAGAGATGCACTCATTTACCAAACCTTTCATGAGGATAGATAAAATTTTTTTTTTTTTTTTTCTGTGTGATTGTTACAGCAAATACAAGCAAAAAAAGGATAATAAATTTTTTGAAAAAGTAAAGAGATCTGAAACATATTGCATAAATAAAAATGGTCATAACAGATATATGTGATTAAAGGATAACAAAATACATGGTCATCCATGACTGATAAACAATTAATATGTAACATTTGAATCTTGAAAAGTAGATAAGAGAGTAAAGGGAAGAACAAAATAGATCCACAACCGTGATTCCAGATAGACTCACCAACTTAAACTCAACAAGTTTCATATCCAACCCACAAGATCATTTAATGAACAAAGATAACCAATTGTTGCAGCCAAATAGTCTCATCACTCATAAACCAAAACATCAATGCCCCCATCACAAATGTTACAGCAGCATAGAAAATCAAACCAATCGCATCTCTGAACAGTGCATGCATAGATGAAGAGAGAAAAAAAAAAAAAACAGAATTGTTAAAGAAGAACAATTCTGTTTTTTTTTTTTTTTAAAAAAAATGAACAAAATAAGAGAAGAATGAGGATCATGAACAAGAAGAGGAGATGAGGAAAGACACGTAGCTAGAGCAGAGAAACACGCGGTAGTGAAATGATCAAAGCAAGTAACAAAACGAAATCTATCATATATATATATATATATATATATATATATATATATGGCTGTGAAATGTTGAATCATAATTCATGAATTACCTATGTACATACCTCAGACCTTGGAATAGTGATTAATGTTTGTGTTGTATGAACTCATTAATGTCTTGAGGTTGTTCCTTTCTCTACATATAATACCCAAGATATGTTCCAAAACAAAAGTTGACTATTTTTTTGCACCCTTGAAAGATTATTTATCACCACCAAAATAGCAAGAGCTTGGACAGAAAAATATTAGGCTGGGTAGCTTCCTAAGATGCAATTGCCTCAAAGATTTTAGTCTATTTTAGTTGTTGTTCTTCTACGGATTTTATTTGGAATATTCTCCTTCATCTTGTTGTAATCCCATCCATTATTTGTCTGGAGATTCCTAAGGCTTTTGCCTATGTAAAGAGTAAAATTATTTGGAATATTCTCATAGGTTTGAAAGGAATCACAGGCTCAGTCATGATTTCTTAGCCAAACAAAAGTTCTAGAAATGTCAAGAATCTGTACTAATCATGAATATCTTGTTTAGACATCCAAAATATCTTGTGGATATGTTATATGTTAGTTAGATTCAAAATAAATCCTTTCATGTTTCATTTAACACAATCAGATCATGTAAGTTGATCTCATCTATGCATAGACAAATCAACCGTCATTATTTTCTTACCTCTCTATCTTATATATAACTTTTGCTTATGTTAAATGAGACAAAAGAGAATTCATTTTCCGTTAAATAGGAAAATAGATCATCTCACGTTTCATTTAATATAATTAAATCACGTGAGTTCATATCATTTGTCTATAAAAATAATAAGTCTTACATCAAATCTTAACAGTTAATTTTTATGAATCTAATTGTTATGATTTATTAAGAATTAATAATTAATTAATAAATATAACATAATAAATCACAACTGACAGATTCACATAAATCAATAAATCAATGGTTAAAATTTTGTATAAGACTTATTATTCTTATATCGATGTAAATTGTAAAGAACCACCTCAACCCAAAATCTTAAGGTGTTGAGTAAGAGCCTTTTTTTAATGATTTATATTATTCTTTAACACACCTCCTCACGCAAGAGCCCTTTGGACTTGAAGCGTGGATATTGCACAGGCCCAATTTTTGATTTACTTTTTATGTTTTTTATTTAATTCCACTTGAAAGTAGGGGTGGTGAGGATTGAACTCGTGACCTTATGGTCACTAAAGCTCTTATACCATGTAAAGAACCACTCCAACTCAAAATCTTAAGGTGTTGAGTAAGGGTCTTTTTTTAATGATTTATATTATTCTCTAACATAAATTAATCCTATATATAAATAATTGCATCAAAATCAAAATATTAAATAACAAGATTATATCTCAGTTAAATGTAATACTTCGAATATAATTTTTCGAAGAGGAGAGCCACTACTAAATGAGTGCATAAGCAGATTGAACAAAGAAGAGATGAGGAAATTATACGGGAAAGGTAACTAGCATGTGCATTCTTGGTTTGTATATGAGCAAACAGACGTTAATTTGCATGGTGTCAACTGTCAAGTGATTCATTTCTTTCGTCGGCAAACTAGTCATATCAGAGGACAATTCCACCCCAAACACTGCATGAAAATGAATGAAACGGTAGCATAACTACTTCATTGCAGTTGAGCTGCAAATCTCTACTAGCATTATTGGTAGCTTGGTCAAATTTGGTTATTCCACAAAGGTTGTACGATCATGTTCTCACACTCTATCCCTTATTAAATGGACAACTATTCCATAAAAAATAGTATGAAAAAAACTTTAAAATTTTGAAGGCTTAAAAGCACATCTATGGGAAGTGGGAACGAATACTAGACAAGTCAATTATTTCAAAAATAAAAGAGAAACCACAATGAACACAAGAAAAACTACGCATTTACAGAATATAATTATATGCCCTGTGCAGTGTGCACCATTCAGAATGGTCTTAAACCAAGCAACTGTATAAACACAAGGGCACTCTACAGGACCTATTATCTTTACAAACGAATGATGTTATCAATACAGTTTGCTTTGATAAAAACTCAACATAAGATAAATTAAAAGTAAAGAAAACTGTTAAAAGTCATGTCTTGGCTCCTCAAAATGAAGGAATGACTATTCTTCATGTACCCAAAGATGCCCCCAATCAAATCTCAAGATTTATAGAAGATAGAGCAGCCCAACCTCCACCAACAAGAGCAACCATGATATGCTCGTTTCATGGAATACACTAACCATTCCCCAAACCAATCGTTCAAGGAATACAAAGTCATGAGCATCAGAGATTAAACCATTGACTTCGATATTTTATTTTCCAACCAAAATTCCAAGCATATTGCAATGAGAAACACGTTAAGATGATTGGGTTTTCATTTCTGGAATTGGACCCAGTTCGAAAGCCTAGCCAACTGCAACAATTTCCTTTCCATGATCTTCTTCATGGATATTTCGCCTCAACCTTCTAAGCCATATTTCATAGTCCATGGGATATGGTGTACCGCATAAACTGTCAACGTAATCAGAAAAAGCTTTCAGCACGGTAGAGATATCACCAAGCTTCTGCTGAATTAATCTCCTTGACCAGGATGTCTCTCTCCATTGTAGCGCTCCCTCTACTGAATCTAGATCAGGAAAAACTCCACCACATGAATAATAAAGCATATAAACTAGGCTTTCTGCATCTGAAGCCGAGCACAGTTTTCCTTCTTGAAGTGCGTAAGTAGATGAGAAATGAAGATTCATAGCAGGGCGGTCCCTATCTTCAAGAATTGCATGGCCCCACCCAATTAGAACAAAATAAGGATGCCTCACACCGGACTTTACACAGATCACATTCTCTGGCCTGATGTCTCCGTGCCGAATTCCAGCAGAGGCAGCAGTGGAAAGTGCCGATAGGCAATCATGGCAACATCTGATTGCCTCGTCTGAACCAAATTGGCCTGTGCGTACCATTTCTGCCACTGTTTCACCAACTGGACTGGTCACAAGAATAGGGGTTCCACACCAAGGGTGGTCACAATTTCCACCTGAGCTAGGCCTTCGACAAAGACCAGGGTGTATGATCCTACCAGAGGCACTCAATTGAGGCAGATATTTGCTTGAGAGACCTTTCTGCTTCATTATTGTCAATACTTTGGTCTGTCTCTGAACCTGATACCATAAATTCATATATTCCCATGCTGGTTCCAGCTGGGAGGGATGAGAGCCCACATATAGAAACAGATTTTTTCCTGGGTCTTCAACATCAGAAGCAATGTAGTATGTCAATTCACCTGGACTGATTACCTCTTTTATCTGGTAACCCTTTTGCAAATCTGAATCCTCCAGCCATAACATGGATCCTTCTTCTAATTTCATTATTGACTCTTTGGAATCAACTTTGATGGAATCATCCTGAACTTCAACAATTTCAGGGGAAACACTACGTTGCTGGTATCGAAAAAGGCCATTTCCATTCACTCTAGTATCTCCTAACTGCCTCTCAACTCTTCTTGTTTGGAGGCGTGAACTATGATCAGCGGCTAAATCCTCAACAGAGTGCTTTGGCATTCCAGCATATTGCATAATACAGTGAAAGGTTGCAAATAGTACCTGTAGAGCACCAATATCCCCCCAGTTTGCATTTCCAAGTTTGTTCCATATCCTATCAAATGGAGAAACAGAAATTCTAGAATGATTTTTTACCCATTCAGCAGCACATTCATAAACATTATTCACATCAAAATTGAGCTTATTTACATCTCCTTCAACCTTTACAACTCCCCCGTATTGAGAATCAACCAGAAGAACAAAGACTGTGCTTGGATCCTGAAAGAAACTCAGTCTACTCAAACTCCTTGCCAATAGTATTCGAAGAGCATAAAACAGAGCTTCTCCAAGAACTGATGGACAAAGCTGGCGGTCACTACCAACAAGACCTCGGATATCTGGCCTTATAAGTGCCAATTCAAGGACATGATCCCATTTTCCATGAGGATGTCTAGAATTATTAAGCAATATACCAGTAGCACAAAGACCTCCAATCCTTCCATTAGCCATAGCTTTTTCAGCCTGATAAAACTTCATGTTAGCATTATACAGACAAGCCACAGAAAAAGGCATGGGCTCATCTTGACTCCAGAATGCCTCCCACAAACCCTTCATACTTGCATGTAGAAAATCTTCAATAGCAAGATAAGCTGTTGCTTCTACAGCATCAGATGTAGAAGCATGAACAGCATTAGGCATACGTGTCAGCTGCTGAAATGAAATGCCTTCCAATGCATAATCAAATTTTTGAAGTTCAATCAACTCAAATGGAACATCAAATGCTTGCTGTTTCAATGCACATTTTTCAGTTATAGATTCAAACCAGTCTACAAGTTTTGCAGTCAAGATGTCACTTTCAACAAATTTATAGAAGAACTCCTTCTGGTTCTGAGGCCTACCACCAGATGATACACTGGACCTCTTTGTCCCAGACCCTACTGATTCCTGGTCTGGGGATCTACCTGAAAACAAGTATCCAAGTTCATCAATATCACTATAATTATTTTTCTTTTTTTAAGAGGATAGTAAAATCAGGCATTCATCAGTTTAAGTTGCAAAGATAGCAATAATTCTAACATTAGAAAATTCAGATATTAAAAAATAGTGCATAAACTGACAGTAAAACTTCAACATAAGAAAAAGAAAAGAAAAAGATGACATATTCACTTATAACTAAATGTCGAAGCCCACAACCACTATATCTGTTATTGAGGTGAGATCAAAATGACCAAACACATCCTTAAGAGGCTCCTTCTGGAAGATTCTGTCTAAGCTCATATAATAACTACATATTTACCTTGCTGACCAATCCCTCCCAAAAGAAAAAACAAAAGTAGGTGAGGTGTTTGGGGGGTCCCTTTTGATAGGCCAATTTGATAAATAATGCCCTGTTTCTTATATGGTAAGATTTGGCATATCAGCTTATATAATGTGAAGTTCCTTTAAGTCAGAAGTTTAACCCATGATGTGGTTCCAGATGAAATACAATTACCAACATCGAACAAAAATACGGGAGTTTCATAGCCTTTATTTTATGTTATGGTGAAAACTTCCGGTGGACCAATAACAGAATATCAATGCAACTGATTCATGAGACAGATTACGCCAAGCCATGCATCACCAACAGAGTAAAACAAAGGGAAACTGAAGAATCAGATAAAGGATAAGATGCACATCCCCATGAACATGACAAATTCCCTCTTTCAGTAGCTTTGTAAAGTATATTAAAAGTCCACACGTAACATACATTTATTCTCATGGTACCCAAGAAGATTGAATCAGAAAATGATAATAATATCATCATAAGTCAAAAAGACTCTGATCGCACCAAGCTAAATATAAAAGTCCCTGACTTTACAT